ATATTCATATCAATATTGTATGTATCGAAATAATCCTTTTTTAAATATTCTATAATTACGGATAAATGTTACAAATTTAAAAGGGGGGGTCGTAAAATAAACAGAAAGCTTGACGATAGATAGTTGAATAGGAGAATCGTCAGAGCAGAATAATTAAAAATTTGTTATGATTTCCAAATTTTAAGCTCCTTAAATCGTTTTTTTTTGTTTTTTGTATACTTCTAATGATCGTGCATGTTTCAAAATTTTTATCCTCTTTCGCAACATGATTTTCAGAAATCGTTCTCACTCCTCTTGCTCTGTATATAAAATGAATCAATTCGTCATGGTCATAATAATCTGTGGTGAAAATTAGCCGTGTAGTATATGCTACTTATGAGTGTGCATAAGTAGTTTATCCATTAACATTCTGCTCACTTTAATAGTAGTAGCTGTAGTTTGGCGTGTACTGATGACAAAATTTATAAGTAGTATACATAGATTCAATGCGACAGACAGCGGGGAAAAAGGCATAAAACGGACCCACACAAAAAACTTGGAGGATCTGGACTTCGCTGATGATATATGTCTGATTTCCCACAAACTGGAAGATATGCAAATGGAAAGCAACAAGTTGGTATAAGAATCATCAAAGATAGGACTTCCTTCAGGTGAACATAGAGAAGACAGAGGTGATGAAGATTCCTGGGCAACTCTAACAGCAGCAACAACAACAACAGACAACAATCAGCATAAATGGGAGATATCTGAAAGAAGCAACCTCCTTCACCTATTGATTTGGGAAGCATCGTTTCAACTACAGACTGATGAAACTGATGAGGATACAAGAGTGAAAGGATCGGGAAAGCAAGGCAAGCTGTCACTACCCTCAAGTCTGTCTGGAGATCAACACCACTATCCAGTATGAGAAATAAGATTCCGATTTTCACCTCGAATGTGAAGTCAGTGCTACTTACTATAAGGATCAGGCACTTGGCGCTGTGCTGCGTCACGAAGGGTACTTTGAACGAGCTGCATACCTTCATCAACAGTTGTCTTCGCTCAATACTACTCAAGATCAGATGGTTGGCCATAAAAGAGCAGGAACAGTGAGGGATCTCTGGGAGCCAGTTAACGAGGAACCGATTGTGCAATAAATATGCACGAGGAGATGGAGATAAATTGGCCATACTCTAAGAAAGCCATCAAGTGGCACTACACCACAGGCCATCACTCGAGTGGAACCCGAGTTGGTCGTCATTGAAAGGGTGACATGGAGGAGTTCATGTGAATGGTTGATTAAAGCATGTGTGCAGACGTGAAGCCAGGTGAAAACATTTGCAGAGAACCGAACGCAATGGAGACGTGCGGCTGAAGCTCTATGTTCTTCTAGGAATTAAAGGAAACAATAATAATAATACGCAGATTCAGATATGAATATGCAAATCGTCTACAAGAATATCTTATAGTGAAGAAATGGATGGATTTAATGAACGATGCTTGTGAAATAACATGGAAGACATGATAGGAGGACAAAGAAGCAGTATATGGAAGACATGTGTAAATTGTGATTCTGCTATTTGGTAGACATATTTTGCTCATATCCGTGTGTCGAGTTGCCAGTAAATAATCCCGTTACCGGATTTCCTTTTCTTCTGCTGTTGCATTTGGTATCTCTACCTTCAGGCAATGAAGATTCCATGACAAGCTGCTTTCTAGGAAGGAGACATACAGAGCTTCTTCCTCCGAAACTTTAATGCTGTCACTGAGTTGGTGGGCGTTGAAGATCCGGCGACGAAAACAGTTGTTCTGATGACTATGCTGAAAGGTTGGGCGAAGTAGGTGTACGACAGTATGGAGAAGTCAGGTGATAAAGAGACCTGAAATCTATTGGTGGCGTAATTCTACAGTCTGACGGACAGACAGCAGACAATGCAGCAGTTCCTTGTCACGAATCTGGGATCAGTGATGCTGATAAGTTTACTTCACCATGAGCTTCCCACACACTTGATAAAGAGTCAGGGATGCAGGTATTGGCTCCCCGATTCATCGGAGATTTTCCAGCAACCCCCCCCCTGATTCCCAGCAATTACGATTAGTCAGCGCTGCACAACCCATGGACACGTGTAAGCTCGCGAAGGTACCAAAACAGATACTGAGCGTAAATGTACCTGCAATAGAACCAATAAAGTAGAACCAGTGGGAAGAGAAAATTTAAAAATTGCAAGGTGAAATAGTGGTGCTGCGCATGAGCATCAGGAAACACTTATGCTTTGAATGTGGTAAACCAAGACACTGGAGGAAGCAATACCCGTAAAGATGGAAGCAAAAAAAAGACTGTAGACGGTATAATATGTGTTCGATTTGCCAACAAATAATTCCATTACCAAATTCTCTTGTCCTTCTACATTACAGTTGTAGTAGTAGCAGAAGTAGCATACAGGGTCTTTGAGAATTCACTGATTTATTGATTTGAACTTCGCATGAGTAGCTGAATACTATTACTACTAATTAATTATTGACCAATAGAATTCAGAGACTAAACGTCATAGTTGAAATACAATGAAGTTGATTATTACAATGTCAGTGAAAACTGTACAATGATACCTTTGAAAGCATCTCCAATAAAACTTCTATATTATTATTATTATCATTATTATTATTAATATTATTATTGTGTCCTTTAATTCCTAGAGGAACATAGGGCTTCAGCCGTGCGTCTCCACTGCGTTCGGTTCTCTGCTAGAATCTTCACCTGGCTCCATTTCTGCCCACACGTTTTCATCTCCTCTTCACATGACCTCCTCCAAGTCACCCTTGCACTGACGACCAACTCGCCGCTCCCCATTCGGCCAGCTTCCACTCGAGCAATGGCTTGTCCAGTGATGTCACTTGATGGTTTCCTCAGAGTGTATCCAATCCACCTCCATTTCTTCCTGCTTATTTGTTTCACAATTGGTTCCTGGTTGATTCGCTCCCAGAGATCTCTATTGCTGATCTTTTCTGGCTGGCCATCTTATCTTGAGTAGTATTGAGCGAAGACAACTGTTAATGAAAGTCTGAGATGCTCTTTATGACGCGCAGTGCAAGTCTCTGATCCGTATAGTGAGTAGCACTGACTGACTTCACATTGGAGTTGAAAATCCGCATCTTATTTTTGATGCTGAGTGTTACTATATTTCCGACTGTGTGAACATCTTGACTCTATTCTGATTTGACACTAGTAACTAGTGTCATGCGTCTAGTCCTCTCTTTGGTGCAGACTGAATTCTATCAGTCAGGTTGTAATGTGACCACCATTCTAGGTAGCTCGCCATCACGTTGTACATTGTTTGTGATGATATGAGATGGTTGGAGGCAATCAGCAGGAAGCCTTGAACCTAGGTTTCGTGGCGAGCTACCTAGAATGGTGGTCACATTACAACCTGACTGATACAATTCAGTCTGCACCAAAGAGAAGACTAGACGCATCACACTAGTTACAAGTGTCAAATCAGAATATCCACTACAGACCTACAGGAGGTCAATCACGAGCCCGAATAGCTCAGTGGTAACGTCTCTGACTGCAGCACTGGGTAACGCGGGTTCGAAACTCAGAAGGGACATGAGTTCCTTCAAGGTTGCAGATACGCCTTGCTGAATGACTGGTGAGTGCCAACTAGCACGAAACCTAGATCCAAGGCTTCCTGCTGATTGCCTCCAACCATCTCATATCTTGACTCTATGTTAGTTAGAATTAATTATTATTATATCTTTATTGTTTCCTTTGGTTCCTATTGGAACATGGAGCTTCAGGAGCGAGCAGTAGTCTTTTCCAACTTCCCTCACGATTACTGATAAGTTTTCATTCTCCTCTTCTCATCACGTGATCTCCTCCATGTAACCCTTGGACACCCAAGTTATTGCTCCCCGTTAGGGTTCTATTCGATGGCGCGTCGCACGATATTACTAAATGGTCTTTTCGTCTCTCAAGCCTGGAAAACGATAGGCAAAATTTAAGCCTGAATCTAGTGACCACCGAATTATTATATTAATATTGTTCCCTTAGGTTCCGAGTGAAACATTCAGGTGCGACAGCACGTCTCCACTTTGTTCTATTTTCTGCTGTCGTCTTTAGCTGATCCCAAGGTTGTCCATAGACTCTAATCACCTCAGTGTCATTCTCCGTGCTGACGCCCCACTCATCGTTTCCTCTTCGGGTTCCACTCGAGATTATGCCTGGTGTATGGTGTTATCCAATGGTCTTCTCAGCATGTATCCAGTCCATGTCCATTTTCTTCTCCATGTTTGTTGAGCAATAGATCCTTGATTAGTTCGTTTCCAGAATGTCTTGCTGCCAATTCTTTCTAGCAGGCCACTTGATCTTCACTTTGCAGTCAGTTAAAGAAGCTGTTGATAAAAGTCTGCACTGCACTGACCTGTAGGAAATGCTTTTCATAACATGCCAAGTTTTTGACTTAACATTTATGTTGAAAATTCGAACCTTATTCTATATGTTACTGTAACGACTGAAGACAAGGGCCGCACAACAGATAGTTTATTATTGAGAAAATCAAGAGTTATTTATAGATTTTTACGTGCATTACTATATTAGCTTTATTGTTAGCGGAGAAGCAACCTCTTCTGATTGGTTGTTTTCTTGCTGAAGGTTATTCTGTCTTTGTCTCTTTGTTGCCGTTTCTTAGACAGTCCGACCATAATATATCTGTGATTCATATTTGCACACGTTAAGTCTCCTGTGTGATTGGTTGGTAAGTTCGTCAAGGTTAAGCTTTGTTATTGTTTTTGTTTTTTTTCTCATGACCCAGATTCGGGACGTGAATATTGACGTTAAATTGTTGTCTACAATTTTGGCTTGCAGATAGATAGCTCCCACCACACTCTACTACTTTATGAAATTGTAGAACTCATCGCCCCAAAAATACACTACAATTTTTACTTTGTTTTCGTAACATTCGTGGTTAACACATTTTGTTTTTACAACTCACTTATTTTTTTATTTCCCCATTAATATTGATTAGTTCTTGCTCCAGTCCCTGCAATATTGATTTGTGCTTTAATACGTATATGTACACAAAAACGTCAACTCGACCTGATTGAAGATCATCATCTCTCTATGAACTGTTCAATCATGCATAATAACGCCTCTGGTCTAGACACAGATCATTGTGATAAATGTCAACAACTGCAGTATAAAAGATCTCGTTCAAATTATTTCCTAATTGGTAGTCGAAAATCCCGTACTGGTGGTGGTGGGGGTTGTGGTGGCGGTGGCAGTGGTGTTGGTGTTGGTGCTGTCGGCGGTGGTGGCTTATCAATGGCATTTAATTCAATCAATAAATTATCCAGTGTTCTTGAAGTTGAAGATGAAGTCGATGATGCCGATCAACAACAGCAGCAGGAGGCGGAGGACGAGGAGGAGGACGAGAATATGTTAGCGATGAAAATATTGAATGTTATGACCAAGTCAACAACATATTCTACAGCTGGTTTAATTGATTCAACTGATGACAACAAGATGTTGTTGAAACATGCTTATTCACTGCCTGAATGTGATTTAAAACTTTCTTCCAGTGAACAACAAGGCGATGAACAGTCGTCTGATCATCGTCAACTGGTGGATTGGTTTCCACCTGAAGATCGTAAATCTGCATGTTTATCTCTAATAAATGGAAAGTCTTTATCAAAATTCAATCAGCAGAATCCCACTGTTGGTGATGTGATAATTTCCAACGCTTGTTGTATTGAAACCAACCGGGATAATGGTCGTCCAACGACTGGTTCTAGGAACATTGACGATCCTATTATACACTTCAATAATGAACTATTCGTCAAATGTAGAAGTTATAATGATTTACAACAGGCAATGATTCAAAAAGAAGAAGAAGAAGATATTCAAATGGCTTGTTTATCGTATTCATCGCATCTTGATGATGATGGTGATGGTGATGGTGATGATGAACAAATGTCCTCTGTGTGTTCCTCTTCTTCATCTTCTCCAACTGCTGTTGCTGCTGCTTCATCGTCTTCATTGTCATCTCCACAAGTAAATCTTCCAGGATGTGAAACAAGTCGTGTAAGTTTAAAGGCTACTTATTTATTTATTTTTTGGTTGTAAAACAGAATTATCAAAAAGGTATTCCCTAATTTAAGGTTGTGAATCACATCTATGCGATTTTGACTGATTCTTTTTTATTCCTTTCCGTTGCAACTGGGACATATGGATAAAGCAAGAACAACAGTGATTTGTGCAGAATAATATGGTACTATCATCATTTATTTCGTTGGCTTCTCATCAGCTCAGCTGCTTACAGCCTAAATAAATTATGAGATTTGCGTACAGAAAAGTTTTAACATACTTGCAAATTTCACATGTTGTCAGTTGACAAAAAGTTCCACAATAAGTGAACAGTGCTCAGAAAATTGCGCTTATGTAGTTTTTACACAGGCAGTTCAAGTTTAAACAAAATAAATGTATGCATACAATGGTAAAGGAGTTGCGTAATAAAGACGAAATATGCGTTAGATACAGAGTGACTAATAAATTAGGTAACAATGTACTTAGTTCAACTCAAATCATAGAAACAAGAGACAAGCGAAATTACAGATTATATAAGGTGGTGAGGTTAAAGACAAAGAATTCGTATTCAGATGACAGAATAAAGACATTCAGTTACCCGGATAGGCAAGGAAAGACTGATAACTGCTTCTTTCAAGCGTTTGATAGAAATTGCTTCGGCAAACTTGAGGAGAATGGAGCAGATATCTTCATGTCAAACCTTGAGAAAACAAAGCTGAAGCATGCAATCAATCAAACAACTTCCTATTGTCGATGTGCTGATGACACATTTGTAGTATGCAACAACGAAAGTCATGCCTTCTACCTACTCAGCCTATTCATCAAAGCACATACAAATATTGTATTTACCATGAAACAGGAAAATGATGGAAAGTTCCATTTCCTTGACATCACCATGCAACACCTAGAAGATGGTAATCTCCAGAGGTCAATTTACCGAAAGCCTTCACGGAATGGACAATACTTACATTTTAATAGTTTTCGTCCAAATAGCTATAAACGAGCACTAGTCAAGACTCTGTACTATAGAGCAAGAAGAATATGCTCTGCAGAGAAACTAGAGGAAGAATTTATGATTCTCGAAAAGGTGCTGAAAAACAACGGTTACCCTCAAAGATTCATTAACAAATATGGAAGGTGTGAAGGCTCAAATACCAAACAAATCACAGTTGAAAAAAAGCCTGTCTTCATTCAACTAGATTTTAAAGGTGAAAACGTTGCAGAAATGGTCAACAGAAGACTAAGAACGTCACTAGCCAGAGCCTATCCTGCAGCTAAGTTGGTTCCCGTCCATCGAACAATATGCTCTTTGGTGCAGTCAAAAGTCGATAGATACCCTTCTCATGTTAACTCTAACTGTATATACAAATTTACGTGTATCTGCGGGAGCAGTTACATTGGGAGAACAGAAAGAAGGGTACACCTCCGATTTTCTGAACATGTGCCAAAAAGCCTACGTCTCAAGGGAACAAACTCTTATAGTAGCGCTATTACTAGACATCTTCTCGACACGGGTCATGAAGTAGAAATCGAGAAATCCTTTAAAATTATCAATAGACAAAGGAGCTCCATTCTCCTCAAGTTTGCCGAAGCAGTTTCTATCAAACGCTTGAAACCAGATTTATGTGTTCGGAAAGAAGCAGTTATCAGTCTTTCCTTGCCTATCCGGGTAACTGAATGTCTTTATTCTGTCATCTGAATACGAATTCTTTGTCTTTAACCTCACCACCTTATATAATCTGTAATTTCGCTTGTCTCTTGTTTCTATGATTTGAGTTGAACTAAGTACATTGTTACCTAATTTATTAGTCACTCTGTGTCTAACGCATATTTCGTCTTTATTACGCAACTCCTTTACCATTGTATGCATACATTTATTTTGTTTAAACTTGAACTGCCTGTGTAAAAACTACATAAGCGCAATTTTCTGAGCACTGTTCACTTATTGTGGAACTTTTTGTCAACTGACAACATGTGAAATTTGCAAGTATGTTAAAACTTTTCTGTACGCAAATCTCATAATTTACTTAGGCTGTAAGCAGCTGATGAGAAGCCAACGAAATAAATGATGATAGTACCATATTATTCTGCACAAATCACTGTTGTTCTTGCTTTATTCAAATTCATCAAGGGGAATAAATGCATGGGATCTATGGCTTCCAGTTTTTGCTTTGAAGTTTCAATCAAGCTGGGTTGTTAGCCTCACCTCGTCCACCCTTCTCACCTACCAACGACTAATCGAGGTTTAGGTGTGTGTGTGTGCCAGCCTGGACTGACTGACTGACTGGTTTCAGTATAGAACTTTGTACAGATGTACATCAGTTCAAGTTGCCACACTCCCTTCAGGTAGTACAGAAAGCAAGAGAAGAGAGTAGTAACAAAAGAGAGATAATAACAATAAACACAAGTGCGAATGAGAGTAAAATATTAGAAGTATTGGAGAACAGTAGAGTTTTACTGGATGATACGACAAACCATAAAGAGTGAATACATCTGCGCCAGCCACTGACAACAATGAATTTAAACCATATCACCTATAATTGTTTCCAGTTTTCAATAGTTCTTACCATCCCCAGAACCCCAACCAGCCAGTCAGGAATTTCACACCTCCCTATGTGGCTCCCTGATACTAACATTTCTGGATGATATTGACTGATGTAGTCATATTTTGATTTCACCACCGCTAGCCCTTTCCCCACGACCTGATCTTAGGTCCTGTGTTCGAATCCCAGTGGGTGCGTACTGCCGATGATTCCCAAACTAGAATGAAACAGCAGCCGTCCAGTACTCTCCGGGTTTTCAATGGTTTTCTAACTGATATCAGTCCGTGATCAACTCGTAAAAACATAACAAACCCTTACAAACCAGACTATAGAAAATTGATCTTATGTCAGCTAACATTACCTGTCGTCGAGGAAGATGATGGCTGCTTGGCATGCGTATCACATGCCCTAAGCATCTCAATCGATGTAAATTCAAACCCCCTCATCGATTGATTTTCCCTCCCTGACTTACTTAGCCACTCCATGCCTAACCAGCTCAATACTATTCACTCTATTATACTCTATCGCCACTTAACACGAGAGGTAGAACGCAGACACCTATGATCAAAGAAAGCTAGCCAGCATTTTCATGTCTTCCACTCTCAATGGACAGGTCTCACAGCCATAAAGGAGGGTGGAGAGGACTGCTGAGCATTACACACGCCATTCGGTCGACAGCCAGCTGGATATCACGTCTACGCCAGAGACGGCATAAACTGGCATATGCGAATCTAGCCTTCTGTATCCATGCTGAGATTTTGTTATCGATCAACCTGCTGGCACTGCCTGATGCAACTTTCTAAATAAGTAAAGCGGTCAACACGCTCCACCAACCACTTCACTCCCTATTTCTAAGCTAGGGTTAAGTTAATTTAGTCCAGTCTTGTAGCATCATCTTATACTTGGTGGGAGCGAATCGCATACCAAACATTTGAAGATTTTTGTTCAAGGCGGTGTTCAGAAGACTCTGCTCTATTATGTCAACGTCTTTCCCCAGAAGGACTATATCATCTGCGAGGGGCGTGGTTTCTCAGGTGACATGGAATAGATCGTGCGAGGACGAAGAGAGAGCCTATGGGCCACCTCGAGTTTCAGTTAAAGAACACCGCAGAGAATAGAAGAAAGTGGAAATGTACTGTTGGAAGCCCTATGCTCCACTCATAACCCAAGGGGACAGTAGGTAATATAAAATAAGTCTATTTACCCTGTTCATCAACTTGCTTCGTTCGTCTTTATCGTGGGGAATGCGTAGGGCTGAAAAACGTTGATGTCAAGGTACGAAAAAGTTCAGTAACAAAGTGTCTTGCAGATTACTACGGACATGATATTGATGCCCTGTCACGTCATTGGCTGTTGTCAGTAGACAGGCGATGGAGCATAAAGATGCTTTTAATTACTGAGTCTTAGATAATCAGAGTTTATAAACGCTGTTTCTGCTTATTGAAGGAAAATGCTGGTAGCTTTGATTCTACGGTGATAATATTTTATACTTTTCAGAAGTTGTTTTGTAAGGATTACATTTGTTTTTTACGAGTTTGACCACGGATTGATATCAGTTAGAGAGAGAACCACTGGACAGTTGCTTCATCCTAGTTTGAGAATCATCGGTAGTACGCGCCCACTGCCAAAGTTCGAAGCCAGGACCTTCTGGATACAAGGTAAGCTTGTATACCATTCGGCCGCTAGGACCTGATTCACTGGCCAGCCCATGAATTCTTACTTCTACCAATACGAACTGATATCAATCCATCGTCAAACTCGGAAAAAAATATCTTTTACTTTACGAACTGTTATTATTATCATTATTTTATTACATTCCATCGCTTATTATTATTGATTAAAGATCATCCTTTTTCAGTACCATTATGTTAACTCGTTTCAATCGTTATTATTATTATTACAATTAATATCGTTAAGCTTGCGATTCATGACATTTTCGACTTCTCTCTCTGACAGCTGACTGTTTACGTAAATGAATTAACTGGACCGTAATGCGTTATCATTGTAATTTAAATCTCTCATACCGCTTTTGCTCTTAAACTGTCAAGAAATGACCTGAAAATATTCACAGCTGTCGTTTCGCATGACTGACTTATCGGTCATACATATCTTCCAATATAATGCTAATGGTATATATATATATATATATATATATATATCACTGTATTTGAATTCGATTGGTTGTCTATCAGGTGGAGTATTTATTATTCGTCAAGGTTATCTAAGACTAAACTTTGATTGGTTCACCTTTATCTCTGTTGTTGTTCATTGACTTCGATATACATATTTCATTAGTTAGATTTTCGTCACGAACCAACCACTAGCTAGGAACACTGAACAGTTAGTTGTTTCGTCTTATTTTTGGACTCTTCACCGGTGCGCACACCTACGATACCATCAGGGATCAAACCACGGAACTTTCAGGTTATGAGACCAAGTTCGTTGGACATTCAGCCACTTAGGTTGGAATTCAATGACTCGATCAACTTGTGAGGTACCGCTAAGTTCACCAAACCCTTCAATGACATGGTTGATCCTGCTGCTCACAACTTTTCCCCTGTAGCTGCACCATCAGATGATAGGAATTGATTGGATTTGGTTGGACTCGATGGCCTATCCACCTTATGACGTCACTTCAATACCTCATCGATTGATTCGCCTGCGCCTAACCTCAATATTACCCACCACATTATGTCACTTAACACAACAGATAGAACACAAACACCTGGGGTCGAAGATAGTTAACCTTTTCAATTCTCCCATTTTCAATGGCCATGTCTCACAATCATAAGGAAGGAAGGAAGGGAGGTACGAACTGCTAAGCAATACACCCGTCCTTTGTTCGACAATCAGATATCGCATTTTCGCTGGAGTTGATGTTAGATAGGAAATGCCGCACTAGCCTTTTGTGTATACTTGCTGAGATTTCGCCAGCAATCAGTCCACTAGAAATGATGCAACTTCCTATCTTTAAACTAAGAGTCGCTTCATAACAGTGCAATAGCTATCATCTTACATTTGACAGGTGAAAATCGCATGCTAAACATTCGGAGATTTCTGCTCAAGGTATCCTGAAGACTGAAAGACAACTAACTATCAGAGGATTTCATCATGAGCTGACACCATTGGAGAACTAGCGGGCAATAGTGGACACCCATCTGTTTCTTCCTCCTGGTTTCAGACTCTCCATCAGTGAGCATCCACTATCGGCGAGATTCGAACCCAGAACCTTCGGGTTACAAGGTTAGTGAGCGCGTAGACCATTCATCAGTCACTGGAACCCAATCCGACTCAATGACCAGTCAACGAATTCCAACTTCTGCCAATTCACAGCCTAGCCAATGTGATTGCTGGCGAGTATTTTTCCTCACACTCGACCCAAGACTTGCATATCAATCTGATGCTAACTGGCGACTGGCCCTTTTCAGGTAGGTAGTTAGTTAGTTACCTGGGTTCTAGTGGGAATTTGTCACCAGTGGGGTACAGCAGGTTGGGCGTGAGGACAAATACTGTCCACCGATGACAATGGCTAGTGCCAGTCACCCTATGTCGTGGATTGGCAAAAGTTGGAATTCGTTGACTGGTCATTGGGTCGTTTTGGGTTCCAGTGATTGATGAATGGTCTACGAGCTCGCTAGCCTTGTAACCAGAATTACTTGGGTTCGAACCCTGTCGATGGTGAGTGCTCACTGATGGAGAGTCTTAAACCAGGAGGAAGAAACAGATGGGTATCCACTACTGCCTGCTAGTTCTCCAATGGTGTCAGCTCATGATGAAATTCTCAGATCAGTCAAATCTGCACCCTGCAAACCAACACATTTGAGTAACAATTGTTAAAGTCTTATCTTCTCTATCAACGCGATTATTATTTCTCTCAGCTGTTCATTATTTCCTCTCTCACTCTCTCTTTCTCTTCTTTCTCATATCCTCCTCAGAGTTCCGATATACCTGCATCGTTTGTCATCTCATCTAATCCAGATTTATGCATACATTCCTTATCGTCACCACCGGCATCACCTTCACCATCCACTTCAACAGTATTATCAACACTTCAAAAACATTTACTCCAATCAAAAAAATATGCTCTGAATCGTATTCATCATCATCATCAATTCTTCATGTCATCGTCTTATCCTGTCTCAAAAAATGATCATAGAAATAATTCTACTACTACTAATAACAGTAGTAATAGTAGTAGAAGTAAACTGTTATTAATGGAATCTGCACAAAGTATTGAAGACAACAGATAACGCCTACTAATAAGTAAGTCAATATCAAGTTGTGTATGTGTGTGTTTGTGTCTGTGTGCGTGTGCGTGTATGCGTGAGTTTGTACAGAGTAGAGTCAGTCACATACACACAACGTAAGGAATAGTCAATTCATTTGGAGAAGATCAACTATATTAAGTTTTTGAACACATACTCGTTAACTGAGGTGATGATGACGATGACAAAAAAGGCACTACGATTTTATCCGAACGTGTAGCAACAGATGAACGAATGCCTTCTTCTGGTTGTAAAGGTTAGTGATGCATTTCGTTGCAGGTTAAGATTTTCTTCGCCGCTATGAAAATGACCAATATCTATTCACAGAATACAGTTAAAATTTGGTTACAAGATTTTATCATGAGCTGACATTAGTTAGAGGACCATTGGAAAACCTGCAGAGACTACTGGATAGCTGTGTAGTCCTAGTTTTGGACTCTTCATCAGTACGCACCCACCGGGGTTCGAACCCAGTGTAACAACAGAAGACAAGGGCCAGGCAACAGATCGTTTATTAAGGAAATCAAAGCATATTTATATATTTTCATGTACATTATTATAGATTAGGTAAGCAAACAAACACAGTCTTCTGATTGGTTGTTTCTCACTTAAAGCTAATCTTTCATCTCTTTGTGACTGTTTCTTGAATGTCACATCATCTATATGTTAACTGTACCCACCTACGCAAAGTCTGCAGTGGTCGGTTTTCAATCAGTGTTTGTTCATATTTTCTCACGACAAATCTTGAGAACGTAAACATTGACGTAAATTACTGTCTACCAATTTGGCTAGTAGACAGATCTCACCACACCAGGACCTTCTGGTTACACAGCTAGCGAGCTCGTAGACCATTAAGCCACTGGGCCCCACCAGCCCATGAATTCTAACTTCTACCGATTCACGACATAACGCGACCACTAACCAATGACTTCGGCGAGTATTTGTTCTCACACCCGACCTGCTGCACCCTACTGGTCACGACTTCCCACTAGAACCCCAGGTAACTAACTACCTACCTGAATAGGGCCAGTCGCCAGTGAGCGTCTCATCGATATTGAAGTATTGGTTTGTAGGGTTCGAACTCCGTTGGGTGCGTACTGATGAAGAGTCCCAAACTAGTAGGAAACAGCTGGCTGTGTAGTACTCTCTGCAGGTTTTCCAATGTTTCCCTAACTAATGTCAGCTCATGATGAAATCCTGCAACCAATCAATCAAGTCCCTACAAACCAATACTTGAATGGTTAAAATTTGCTAGACGTTTAGTGATAGCCATTGGAACCATATTTATTGTAATACTACTTTGTCGCCCTTATACGGTCAAAAGAGGGGGGAACTGGAATGGTTCCCTTGTATTTAATTCACAAACAGTAAGTAACTATTGAGTCCGTTTGTCGGCAGAGACACTCGTTCACTATATAAGCTCTGCTTTAAGTTTGTCATATTGATAGTGGGCAGGAAGACTGTCACAATTTAGTCTGTGACATATTTGACTACCTCTGTAGGCTGTGCAGATTAGATGCTTCTGTACTACTTGGTAATCTGTGATTGAATACCTCATGCAGCAAATAAGGGTATAATAATTGCTTAACGGACTCCTGGTTCGATGAAAGCAAACTAAGGTGGGTGCAAGTAAACAGTCGCGTTTACTGTAGAGTCGTGTGTCTCACCATCTTCCTTACTTTCCGGGATGATGACATAGTTAATGTATAAAATATAAATAGATAAGAAATACAGTCACAAAAATGTGGCGCATTGGCTTATTCATGGACAACAGTTCTGAATTCTGCCCCACCTATCGAAGTATAAGCAGTCACGCAGTAATACTAAACTTCTCAAAGCAGATATGGCTCGTTGCTGGTGCTGGTAGTGAGTGCTGGCAATAACCATAATCGATGATTTGTGTTAGTTACACTTGATGGGATAATTTTTCAGGAATTCCTAATCACGAATGATGAATCTGACATTTCGATAAACATAAACAGTAGACACTGGATATTCTTCAGAGATACTTTTCACCTGAAGTCAATTGGTGGATGGTGACTAGCAGTGGAATCCAGGATGCGCATTTCATCCTATTTGGGTGATGATATCTCCACCAAGGCTCAAAACCAATGCCCGCTCACTGGGGAATGCAAGTACATCCAGCTGGCTGACGAGTCCTGAACAGGACGAAGTGGACATCCTGAATTCCACTGCTAGTCACCATCGACCAGTTGACTTCAAGTTTCATGACCAGACATCGTCAAAGCATCTGCACTAAGAGCCGATATGTCAACCTGAGAGCGAGCACTTCAGTCCAATCAATCGTCCGGGAAAATCTAAACTGAATTAAGTAGATACTTTTCAATGTTTCAATAAAGTTAAAACTGAGTTCAATTGAATTCAGTTACCTTAATTAGGTTGTTTATATGCCTGACTGTAAGCCAAGCTTATTACAATGTAAAGGCCAATGATACCTGCCAGTTGCCCGTGGGAAGATAAATTAAGTAGAGTGGGATTTGAACCCACGAATCTTTGGTTGTTAGCAACTCAAGCTATAGTAAAAAAAATAAGAACATTCAAATTAATTTAACTCTATAAGTAAAGAAACTATAATGATATTTGAAAGAAGTTTTATAGACCTCCTATCACAGTATATTTGTTAGTATAGATCCGTTGCGTTTCACCTGTATCACATATAAGACGATGTGTCAGAACTGACCTGCACACAACACCTAGTTTACGGGAATCCCTTTTTATGGCTGTGATACATGGATGTAAAAAGTGGAAGATATGAAAAGGTTAGCGGTTATTATCCTTAGTTGTCTGTCTTCAGTTGCTCTCACTAAATGGTACAACGTAGTCAATAATAATAATAATGCTAAGGTGTAAAGTTTTAGGTAAGGAGGAATATAGTGCGTTAGTGAGATTGTGAAGCTCGATTAGTTGTGATGCCCTCTGACATGTTTTATGCACGCATCATGTCATTGATTGTTGGTTTGAGCCACAACGGTAGGGAAGTGTAGACTGTCGGGTTCGGGATTCCGAGATATCCAGAATCTCAGTCGTTGGCATCTATTTAAGACATTGACACGAAATTGTTCAGTAAGCGAAAAACCTAACAAGTGTTGGTTTCCAGGAATTTGATTAGTCTCAGGAGTTCATGATGAACTGACATCGGTTAGAAGGCCATTGAAAAACCAGCAGAAGTGGTACTAGACAGCCAGTTGTTTCATCCTACCTTGGAACTCTTCAACAGTACTCACCCACCACCGCCGGGGTTCGAACGCGCAGCGGGGGGGAGGGGCCCGTAGATCATTCATCAGCCATTGGGATCCGACCGAATGATCCATGAATTCCAGAGTTCTCCGCGAAAACACGATATGGCACGACCACTGTCGAATGTCATCGATGGCGAGTATTCGTCTTTATACCCGACCTGGTGTACCCTACTGGTCACGACGACTTCGCACTAGAACTGAATAAATTCATCTGATTGACTAACGATTAATTTCCATCGTATAACGTTTGAGAGTGGCGTTGATAACAGCAGTCGATGGTTCAAACTTAGACACCTACATTTTGGTGGCAGTAACATTCCGTAGTTAAATTAGTAAGGTATAATTGTATTATAACCTCGTTATCACTTTCGTCCAGTTTTTCACATTTCATTTCATTTTTGAAGTACTCACTGTACTTCGCTTTAATAATAATAATAATAATAATAATAATAAAGATCTGCTTCACTCCAAAAACAGTACTTATAATACACAATGGAATTCTTAGCATTTGTCACAATATTGCATCTAATTTCCTAAAAATATAAATAAAATTAACCACAAGAATTTGTCCACCTCTGACAGAAGGAATAAAGTCAAAAATGTACCAAGTACAAAATCAGAATAATAACATCAATAATAATAATAATAATAATAACAGTGGGTTTGTCTCGAACAATATTGTCGATGCAGTATGGAAATTTTCGCATGTTATCGAATACTGAATCTAACATTCTCTTGATAATAACATGGTGAGGGAGAAAACAAAACAACAACAATTGTTACAGAGCTTAAATGATGTTTACACTTCTGAGAAAATAAACAAAACAAGAGTAGTGAGAGGATTATAAACATAAGAAGAAGAATAATGATAACAATAAAGCTTGGTGGAATAAGGATGGAGAAAATGGCTTATTTACAGTGAAAAGAAGATTAGTTAGTCAGTTATTCCTTGCCTGACACTAGTTTCATCACACAAAACGGTGCGTGCCAAATATGCTATCGTGGAAGTTTTATACTTATACATGCGTGCATAAAGTCTTTTGATGAAATGAGTTCTTGTTCTAACCGAGGAGAAGATGTGAGGTGAAAGCTGTGGGTGTGCTGAGTTGGATGCTCACAGTCAGACAAAATCCCTTTTAGTAAATTTATTGCATGAAATCAAGTGCCTATCAGTGACAGTGTCAACAATATGGCATAATGGGATACCACCACTCGCCTTACTGACAGTCTTCAGAGTTCTACGAAGCAACCGAGGAAAGAATTGGGGTGAACTCTAAAGAAGAATAGCCAAGATGCAAGAGTTGACAAACTGTAAGAGGTGGAGGGGTTGAGCTATACCCGATTGGCTTAACTTCTCAATGTAAAAAGTCAGATGGAATATTTTACTACAAATCGCTAAAACAGGCGAAGACCAGGATAGATCAGAAGAAAGAATTAGTCCAAAATATTTAACGTCTTACTGGATTTCTAATAACATCACTATCATCAATTTTACAGCGGTCATGGGAATTAACAGCTTCATCATTCAACTTTCTTTTACATCTAAAGTTGAAATTAACAGTCTGACATTTAGAAGGATTTAGTTTAAGACCGACCATTAGACAATGACCAATTTCTGACTTCTGGTAGAAAGCTGTTCATCTTAGTACAGTTTAAATGGGAGTTGAAAGGCATTGAAACAGTCGGATGATCATCAGTATACTTAACAAAGTTCATTTCATCATCATCATCAGAGTGT